GGGAGAAATCCAATTAATAATAATAATAATAATAATAATAATAATAATAATAATAATAATAGAATGACCCAAAAGGCAAACTTAATCCAAGCTAAACATTCCTCAAATAAGGGATTCTAAAGGAATGCTCAGTACTGGAATTACTCTTTACTGACTTTTATTATCCCGATCTAGTTGGTCATGGTGCTAAAAACTAGTACCATCTTTTCAAAGTAAGACTGCTATCATATCCCTAGATGCAAATCCAATGGAACCCAATTATGTTGAGTGGACACATATAAAGTTATGCCTGGGATTGCAATGTTTACGATAGCAATTAATCAGATACATTCATTTATTTAAAGTACTGTGACTCTCCCCAATGAAGGGAACACATATTTTTAAAAGCTTCTATAAAATAAACTTTTCTAGGAAAAAAATCAGGAAGAAGGAGTAAGTAACCTGCTCTCTGCTCTGCTTTAAAAGGGAATGTCTTTTAAAACTCTGCTTGTTCCCATGTATAGATACATAATCCAGAAACATAGAAAACCCTTCAGAATGGCTGTTGTTTATATGCAAATATAATGTACATTTAATTAATTAAATGTACACAATGGCCAGATATATTTAATTGGGTGACAGACCTATTTCTAGCCTCTGTTAAGGACTGTGGTTGCAGAATCAGAAGGACCTAGGTGAGGCTGCAAGAGTGATCTTGGATTCCGACAAACGAGCAGACAGCTGAAGCTACACGGTGCTCGCATGTGGTTGATAACAAACATCCAGGTAAAGAGACAGAAATGCCGAAAGGGAGTCCTGCAAACTTTCCTTCTGCGACGTTTCAGATCCGGCAGCTGCCTTATGTTGCATTTTCTCTCTCTCTCTCTCTTTCTTCGCAAACACAAAACAGATGGTCTGTTCTGCTTCTTGTTTATTATTTTACTACAGCCGCTTTAATAGCTACAATCACAACAATATATGCCCGCGACTTTCGAGAGATTTCACATCTGCTTCCTACTACCAGGAAGAGGAGGGATGCGCTGTGTTACACAAGTCATTCTGGGGCAGTGGGGAGCGGGGGGGGGGGAAGGGAGGTAGAAAATGAAGCGAAAAGGGTCTGAAAGGAAAAGGAAAAAGTCATTGCGATCCCCAGGCTGAACGGAAAAAGAGGGCGTGATTTCAGGAAGGCGGGGCGGGCGCTGCCCACTCCATAATATTTTGACCGAGCTGGCGCCGAAACTGTGCAAACGAAAGGTGAAATTCTATCTGCGGGATCGGGCGCACCTTGGGAAGTTTGGCCGAGTTGTGAAAGGAACTCCGGCTTTAACCTACATTAGCCCGAAAGAATAGAGCGAGTCCATATGGTAGATGCTGCCTGTGGATCTGCGGCAGCAAGACGATGCCCTACTCCTGCTCCTGCTCCCGCATGCCGCCCAGCTTGTGCCAGATGGCGCCTGGACCAAGTGGCCGTGAGAGGTGGCTCTGGTTAGCCTAATAAACCTCCGAGACAAGTCAAAAATCAAAACACACACATAACTAACATCTGCTAGAGCCCACCGTGCCCAGCTAGCCTTTCAATCATGAATTAAGGAGCCCCACTGCCCTTCTGTTCCCCTAGGCTAGAAACTCATTACCATTTATCAGCACTGATGCTATCTGGCCTCCCATTTTATTTAGTGCCGAAGCTCTTCGCATCAGCTTTAGTTTTGACAGTTGAGGCTGGGGGGCAAAGCAGCAGCGGATCTCCGCTTGTCCTACACCGAACAGGCCCCCTTTCCACACGCCTTTACTCCTCGAAAGTCTCACCTACAGCAATTTCTCCCCTGGAAGAAGGCTCCGAAACAGTCGGTGGCGCTGGCTTTCCTCCAAGGACAGGACCTTGGCCACGGCTTTCTGGGCAGCTCTCGGATGTTTTCTTAAAGCCACGACCAAATCAAGGGCGTACGGCGCATTTTTCGCCCAGCGTCTTCCCTCACCTTTTCCCGCGACCCGCGCCTTTGCTCTCCTGCCCCGAAGGCCAGGTCACTCGGCCAGGAGTTCTCGAAGAGAACTGGAAAGAACGAAGCGGGATTTTTCGGATAAGGTGGTTCTCCTAAGGATTTAAAGATAAAGGGAGGCCACGTGCTCATGGACAGGTGGAAGGGGGGAATCCATGCATTACAGAAGATCACAGAAAGGGATCACATCCTGGCAAAGTGTGGTGCTTCCTGCGTTGAATTGCAGTGTTCATTTGCAGGCTTTCAGCAATTCATAGACAAGGCTTAAAAAAAAACTTTCCAGAGTCAGATAAGATCGGCAGAAACTGACAACATTTCAGGCGAGTGATTTTCCCCTCCCACCAGCAGCCATCTGGCGTGCCCAAATTTTACCCATCCCGGTTGGTCCACCGTATCGAAACATTTTGCCCTCGGTTCTCCCAGGCGTTGCCGTGCGATCACTCCGCACCAAAGCTGCCAGGCTCCGTTCTTAAGAACAGGGCGACTGGGGTCTCCCGGCTGAAGGCAGACGTCCAATGTCTCCGTTTGTGTTTGCTCGACTCAAAATAGAAAAGGGTATTCGCTCAAGGTTGTTTGCCAATCAGCTACATAAGCTAAAGAAAGAACGCGCCAACTGGTTATTTCACTTATTTTTAACTAGGAAGGGCCGGATAAACCTTCTGGACGGGACTGGCAGAAAGGTGGCAAAACCTCATTATCATACAGCTGAAGGTTTATCTTCTCTGCTCTCTCTCTTCCCCCCACCCCGTCCCTATTTAACAACAAGCTGAAATAAAAGCCACATGAAAGGCCTTCTCTGTGCTTGGCTTTAATGAGGGACACGCGACTCAACAATGAGCACACATTGCAGGCAGACCAAGGGGCTTTACTGGCAGACAGCAGCCTGCAGCCAGGAGACGGGCTGAGCCTCCCCAGGTCGGTTTCGCACGAGCCAGAGGGAGGGCTCAGGGCTCAGCCTCGTCCTGTTGTTGTCCCCGAGGAGAGCGGCGGCGGTGGCGGGATGCTGCTGCCTCTTAGGACGGGCACCCATCCATGGCTTTTTCACTCCCAAGAAGCCAAGCCACCGGATTTTACCTGCTCTTTTGCGTTCCAGTTTTCGCGGCCTGCGAGAAATGAGCTTCTCTCGCCAAGGAACGTGGCTTTGGAAGCGGCAGTGAACTCCCCCGCCCGCTCCTCCCGCAAGCGCTTCAGAAGGATTGTCAGGCGCTTGCAGGGCTAGCCCCACTTCATTTGCCAAATTCCAGCCGGTGAGGAGAAAGCGCAGCGGTAGAGCTCCTTCTCACGCGCCCAGCAGCCTTTGGCTGCTCTGAGTGGGAAGACCCGCACTAGTTCGGCCAACGCACGCCGGGCAGGTAGGGCGTCTTCCTCGCAGGATTCTCGAGGGAGCGAAATCCGCCAATAAACTGGCCTTTCGGTTTCTCAAGAACCAGCTTAGTTTCTCCTAGCGAAGGGTGTGGGCGCGGGCGCTGCACCTACACGTAGGGACCCACATACCTGGCTAAACGGCACTATAGCCCCAAACGTATCCTTTCCATTTCCACTGGAAATGGAAAGGGGATGGCAGGACCATGTCAACCAGGGTGCTATCTTACATCTCTGCCCCTCGCCGGTCCTGCCTCCCTCCCTGCCTCCCGCGGCGGAAGAGCGTCTCAGTGGCCAGCGCTCAAAAGGAGCAAGCCCACGAAGGCTCGGCTTGCGACCGATCAGCTGGGCTCCTCGGGGTCAGTCCACCAGCCGCCGCCGGGTATTAATTCTGGATCTGCGGGCTCGAGGCCACACTTGGCTCTTCTTCCAGAAAGAAGAAAAGGGGGAGGGATCTCCGGAGTCTGACTGGCAGTTTACATAATGAGCTTGCAACAGCTATATAAACAGCTGAAAGGAAGCGAGTTGCCTACTTGCTGAGCGAGCGCTGCGAGGCCGGGAAAGAGGAGCCACCAGCACCCGCCGCGGCCCCGGGCACCTCATCGCCTCGCCTCTGGAGTGTATCGAAAGGCAGCCGTCCTGGGACTGCGCGGCTGGATCCTCTCCCCCGCGGCTGGTTTCAAACTCTGGATTATACCCGACTGCTCTCCCCTCTGAAGTTTGGGACGTGTTCGGAAGGGAGAGCGGCTGCACGGGGCGACCTGCGGGCGACAACTTTGGGGCCGAGCCAGAGGCGCATCCCTGCATCCCGAGGAATACAAGGCGAGGGCGTCAAGTCGGGCCTCCGCGAGCACCCGAAGAGGATGGCCGCCTTGCGTTTCTTGGGCTTGGCGCTGGCCCTGGCGCTCCCGCTGCAGGTAATGGCCCAGCTGGCGGCGAGGCCGGGGGGCGCCGAAGGCTCGGCCGGCGGGGGGAAGCTCTGACCTGGCTCTTTTGTGTCTCTCTCCTCTTTGTGCAGCGGGTCTGCGGCTCCGGCGTCTTCCAGCTGGAGCTGCGCGAGTTCGTCAACAGGCAGGGCTTCCTGGCCAGCGGAGAGCCCTGCGCGGCCGGCTGCAGGACCTTCTTTCGCGTTTGCTTGAAGCACTTTCAGGCGGTCATCTCCCCGGGCGCCTGCACCTTCGGGAGTCTCACCACCCCGGTGCTGGGAATCAACTCTTTCCCCATCAAAGAGACGGAGGGCTTCCGCAGCCCCATCAAGTTGCCGTTTAACTTTACCTGGCCGGTGAGAGCTCATCTTCAAGAGACCTGGACGGGGGTGGGGGTGGGGGCGGCTAAAGGGAAGGGCGCTGCTCGGCTGCCCAAGAGGCAAAGGCGCGTCGCGGCGGTTCTCTCCCTCGCTCCGCGTCCTGCCAAAAGCTACCGTCGCGTGTGGCCGTTGCAAAAGCGTTTGGAAATGTGTGGGTTGCTTAAGCCCAGCGAAATGTAAACCGGGAAATGGCATTCAGCAGGACGTATCCCGGGCTGTGGCGGGATAGAGAGAGAGAGAAAGGAAGATTGGAAGAAAGGAAGCCGATTTGCCGTTAGAATTAATTGCAAAGAGTTAGCGATTGTTGGCTCCCGAAGCCCTACAGCCCCTTTCCGATCCCTCGCGTTCGCCACTCTCTCTCACTCCTTCTTTTCGTCCACAGGGAACTTTCTCTCTGATCATTGAAGCCTGGCATGCTCCTGAAGGTTACCATCCAACAGGTGAATACTCTGGCATGTCCCTCGGCAGTCACTAGGGGGAGGCCGAGTGCTGCCTTATATGTAAAATAGTTTTCCCAGAAAATAGTTAATTCTCTTGGTATCGTTCCAAAACAGCTGTCACCAAAGCTAAATAAATAAATCGGAGTGCACATAGAACTTTAGGATATCGTTTTGGTGCTTGCTTTAGTTTGCAGGCCAGAGCTGTGTTCCCTACATCTTGACCGGTTTTGCTTTGATTTTTGTCCCCGACTTAATCTCCACACAATTGTGTTTCCTCCCGTTTATTTTTGGCGTGGGAAAGAAAGGAGCTCTTTGGTGAGAAAACGACAAGGCTGCCAAGAAGTCCTGACTGCCTTTTCCTGTATTTTACACCTTTTTCAAATTCCGCCCTTTGGAAAAGGAATAATGGCTTTGGGATGTTTTTCTGACATAAAGGAAAAGGATATTTCAACAGCACCACAGCTCTTATTTTGAAAGCGTCTCTGGGCCACAGTGGATAGAAGTGGATGCTAAAGGCAACTTAATACTGGTTTTATAAAAATATAGGGACTCTTCATTCCTTTTTCTCCAATAACTGCAACTAAGTACCTGAGTCCTATGTACTTCAGGGCTTTTATTATATATTTCTGCATGGGCAAGAAATTTTACAGACTATTATTGCTGAATGATGGAGAGTTCCCCCACCCCTGGAATTTAATCACTATGATAGCATTTTCCCACAGTTGCCAGTGATGGTCTGGTTGATTCTCTTTATTTAGAAATCACAAGGATTGGCTTACCCTGATTTCAGACTCTTCTCCGTTTTTAATTATATTAGACATGCCATTTGGAAATAACTTTTTTTAAAAAATGAAGGCATCAACTGATGGAACGTGTTGCATAAAATCTGGGCTTCCATGGGCGGACACCAGGGAAGTGTTGCAGATGGCCTTGGAGAAGGCATGCAAGACACTATAATTGGGAAATGGTTTTAATAAATTAAAACTGTGGTTAGCAGAGAGCACATCAGCATGATGTAATGTGACCAAGGCTGGCCCACCATATGTTGTCCATCAAGGGAAAGGACAAAAGGAACTGTAGCCAACTGGGTTGGCACTGGTATTGCCAATGGCAGTTCACTGTCTTTTGCTGCACCTGAGGAAGGATGCAGGGCAAGCCAGATGGTGTACATGTTTCAACATTGCTTCACACACACTCTTCCCAGCACCTGAAGCATCTTTTGCACTCCGTTTAATGGTAGAGCAGCTCTACTACACTAGTGGAGCTGCACTGGAGCCACTGGGGGCCTCTTGGGGAAGCTCTGAGTGGAATTGTCACCTGTTTCTAGAAGAGCTACTGTAACTCACTATGGCAGGTAGAGGTTAAGTGAGAGAAGCAATCCTCAGCATGGAGAATGTAGGGATAACTGCCTGCTGTTCTGCTCCCCATGATGCATTTGGTAAAGACATTCCTGGTCAGACGTCCTTCGGGGGATGGATGTGGGGAAAATGCCGAGGTACCTAGGAACAATTGTACAAGTGAAACTGGAAAATAGGTGGAAAGCAGGAAGGGGGACCGCACTATGGCTAGGTACAGATGGCAAGTTTATAAAGGCCTAACCCCAAAGTCTCCTTCGCAGGCTCCGAGACCCCAGCTCGGAAATGGCTCATCAGCCAAATGGCGATCCAGCGCTCGCTGGCGGTGGGCGAGGACTGGTTCCAAGACGAGCAAAGCAACCAGCGCGCCAGGCTCAGTTACTCCTACCGAGTGGTCTGCAACGAGCACTACTACGGAGACAACTGCTCCCGTCTCTGCAGGAGTCGGGACGATCACTTCGGACACTACATTTGCCAACCTGACGGCAGCTTCACCTGTATGACGGGCTGGACTGGAAACTATTGTACGGAGGGTGAGTAACCTTCCGCTTCCCTGGACGAGTAGTAGGCGGGAAGCGCCGGGCGAGGGCTCCCCCTGGTGCTTGCACGCGTCTATAACTCCACTGTTGGCGCGTGCAGAGGGTGGAGGGCGCGCGCCTTGCTGGCGGGGGAGGGGGGGGTGTGGAGAGAAATCACGACCCGCTTGCCAATGATCGCGAGGGAAGCGCGTGCGCGGGTGACTTTCATTCTGGCATTAAAGGGGCGGGAGAAGCTCGAAGGAGTTTCGTGGGGTGGTTGGGATGGTGGAGATAGAAGTAAATGTATTTGGATTCAGCCATACGGGATGTTCTGGGTTGCGTTCCCATTAACCCAGTTGGTGTTTGCTACAGAAAGACATGTAGGCCGTTTCTAAATATCCCAACCAAGAGGGCAGCTTTACAATAGGAAAAGGCGAGCATTTGTACTTCAGGTATTTTCGCTTTGATTGCTAAAAACATTTAGACTTAGAGCTGCGGGCCCGCCGGTTCTCACCGGTCCTCTAAAACTAGAGGCTCTGCTGGTGCTGCTGCTGCTGCTGCTGCTGTTGTACAGTTTACAGCCAAGTCCTACTTTTCTTGGGTTTAGGAAATCAAGTCTGTGTTTGTTGTGAAAACAGTACCACCTCTGGCCTGAAGAAAATCTGTATTTACTAGCAATACTAGTGCTGTGCTCTTTTTAAGATGTCTTTACAGAAAAAATCAAATACAATGTAGGGTTTACAATCAGCACGTAAACGTGCAGTTTTACGTAGAACAAATCTGTTTGAGTGCTCTGTGGTGACAGCATTTTGAACACAGCATAGTAATATTCCAGGAACAAAATGTGGAGTTCCGGTTTATTGCAAAATACAGCCCCCTCCCACTTTTTCCAAGGGTAAAACTACCAACTCAGCCCTTACTCAGCCACTGTCTTCTCAGAGTTGTTATAATGAAAAAAAAAGAGGGGGGACAGTTCTATTGAGTTCACAGGGGAAAGAACAGAATACAGATTAAATATATTTCAAAATACATTGAAATTGTCTTTGAATGAAGTTTTGAACCTGAACTTTTTTTTTTTTTTTTTGCAGCCATCTGTTTAGCTGGGTGTTCAGAGAAAAGTGGATTTTGCAGAAATCCAGGAGAATGCATGTAAGTATTAAACCTGAGTGCCAGTATTCAAGTATAAATCCCACATCCTTTTTCCCTCCTTCCACTTGTCATCATTCATAAAACTTTGTCTTCCTTGGGGCTGCATCTTGATGAAGGTATTTTAAAATTCCCTATTAATTTCTTTCCAGCTGTCGTAGTGGTTGGCGGGGCCGCTATTGTGATGAATGCATTCCTCATGTGGGCTGTCGTCATGGTACATGTACAAAACCAGGGAAGTGCCTATGTGACGAAGGCTGGGGTGGCCTCTTCTGCGATCAAGGTTAGTGGATGAGAGCTATGGCAAGTGTCCGTTCTTCATTTTCTTTATTCACAGTATGCATTCTTGAAATATTTTGGATGGGATCTCAGTGATGATGGGATGGGAGCCTAGAGTTATCCTTGCCCTACAGCTGTCCCCAGGAATTGGGGGTCTCATGGAGCAGATATGGGTTGCTGCTGCCTGAGGGAGGAGAGGAAGGGGAAGTTCCATATCTGAACAGTTCAGCGAAGCTGTATGTCACCCTTTTCCTTTAAAATGGACATGTTGAGCATTCAGCCTTCACTCTTCTCCCACACTAAACATTCTGTATGGGCTGTGTTTACATAACATGCTTAGCCAAGTGAGTAAAAGATCTAATGGCTGCATTCATACAACATATTAATCTTGGTTAGTATTAATCTCGATTAGTGTTTCTGTAGCTTAATGTGTTGTATGAACATAGCCCATAATTTATGTCCAGATTAGGAGAACCCAGAGCATGGGTTAATTCTGTAAGTAGATTAAGTGTGTTGTGTTGCAGTTTGCTCTCATGAACTTAACTGAGTCATCAACATTTCTGCCAAAAAATTCCATCAAAAGCAACAGACTCTGGCCCTATGTTATGTAAGAGGAAATAACTTTATACAACAAATGCCGAGGTTATATTTTATTAAATGAACTATCAAGGTTCTTTTTAAAAGGACACTTTTGGCACAATTCCATGATCTGTTATAGCCTCAGCTAAAAAAAACCCTATATATTCTTCAAGATGATACATGTACACTTCCATTTACAACTGAATTTATTTTCCTACCATGGATAATTTCTTACAATTTCTTTTCATGCCATAGACATAATCATAAGTTAATTAGCAATTGCAGTTTTCCACCAAATTCTACTCCAAAGCTGAACTGTATTCTTCTAAGGTATATCCATGTTGCCCCCTTAAACTGTTCCTGTTCCATGTTGATGCCAGCTGGATTCTAAGCCATCTTAAGTATTTATTAACTATTTGGGAACTGGGTGGAAGCAAGCAAGCAAGCAAGCTTTTTAGTGGCGCACTGGTGGACATAGTCCCACAGAAAAGTGAGTAGCTCAGGGAAAGAAAACGAGTGTATGTGTATATATGTATACATGCTAAGTTTTGAAACAGTGATCCTCTGCATGTCAGGCAAAGGTTATACAGTAACCACTAGGCTACCGGAGCACCATTGGTAACAGGAGTCTTAGCAGAGATTGGAGAGCTGCAGGGTAGTGACCACAAACCCAGGTGGGATTTAAGTGTAAGGGATTGCCTAGAAGGAAGTAAAGTGCAGCAGACAAATCAGCCAGCAATGCCTGAGCTGGCAAAAGATGGAGAACACTACTTTTTAATGTGGAGCAGGAGAGCACACAGGCAGAAGTTGTGTTTCTGGTGGGCTGGAAACGAGTAGAGGAGGATGTCATCCTCCGGAAATGGTTGGAGGCCATTTCTACTCATGATGGAGCAAGTTAATGGTGCAGATATGCCGCTATTCTGCATCCAGGTTAATATACTCATTCTGACACATTCTAAAGCAAGTTTAGTGATGCAGACTTTTTTCTCCCAGAAGAACAGTGCTGTAGGTCCAAGACATTTCTTCCCTTTATCACAGCTAGAATTAAGTTTCTTCTGCATTTGCTTCTAAGTACTTGGGCTGAGCTCTCTCGGGTAACTTCAGATCACAGTGCTTCTAAGTATTCTGATACTGATAAGGACAATTTCGGTTCCTTTGCCTTCAAAACTTTTTTTTATGCATTGGGTCAATCCATACTGGACTGAAATGTCCTCTGTTGCCCTCTTTAATTCAGTTTGCCCTCTGAATCAGGTTGACTGGTGCCGCAATGTTGTTTAATTAGTCCTTATTCCTGTCCATTAAATGCAGTAAGTGATTAAGGTCCATATAATGCTAGTTTTCATGGACATCTTCCCAATGGCTGAAAAAGGTTGTGTTTACATGACAACCTAGGATAGATAATTTAAAGATGTAGTGTGTTGTCTGAACTCAGAATTTGAGAGAAAATGTTGTTAGTGGATTGATCAAGCTGTTATTTGTACCAGATATTTGTTTGGGAGTAATTTACAGTATGATTTGCAGGAATGAACTACATGTCATTGAATATCATTTGTAGTTTGCTTGTCCTAAAGAGCAATCTCTTTGAACCACCCTGAAATATACCTGGAGAAACTTTGTCAAGAAGAATTTGTTCTGTTGAAGTATGTATGATCTCATAGGATGATTTTTATGAGACAGATATTGTTGGCACTTCAGAGCCAGTATAGTAGTGTGGCTAAGATGCTCGATTAGAAGTAGGAAGACCCAGGTTCTAGCTCTCCTTTAGGTATGGAAGCCAAGGGGGTGACCTTGGACCAGTAATTCCCTCTCAGCCCTAATCACCATCAGGCTTTGTGACAAGTGATTGGGAAAAAAAAAACTTTGTTGCATCATGCGTTGATAGCTTTGTTATGTGACCTAAGCAAGCACAGTGAAAAATAACCAGATGCTGCAACCAAGCAGACAGCACTAAGAAGAAAAGACTAATAGTGGTATTTCTTTTAAATGGAACATTTACATTCTATTACTACAAATCAGTTAAGACACAAACAGAAGTAAAGAGTGGTTCCTAGTGTGTTTATATAGTTTTTCTGGTTTGGGTCAGGTTTCAGAACTAAATCATCCTTGGAGCTACATAAATAGTTATTGCCGGCATGTTGGCTTTGACTGACCCCTTCCATTGTTAAGATTTGCTCTAGCAGATGGAATGCTGCTTGTCTTCTTTCATTATTAAAGGCACCACCCAGATGCCATCTCACCTTGGATATGCTAATTACACTAAATGTTCCTTGTCTATCTCTTTCCTTATCTCTTTGATCTATTGGGATTTAGCAGAAATGAAGACTGCAAACTAAGCTGTTCCTTGTGCTTGCTTTATTTACCTACCTACCTACCTACCTACCTACCTACCTACCTACATCTGGAAAATCTTTACATTTCTCTTGATGTCAAGGTCAAGAATGATGGTGCAAAGAAATAAGTAAAGTAATAACCTTAGACAAGTTTATTTTAGGCATGTTGTATAGTGCTAGTAGTGAAGACATATCCAGCTAAGCAAAACTGTTTCTGTTAACTATCAAGCAAATGCATTTTGGCCTAAGTCATTATGTCTTGCTGTGTTTGTAATATCTCTTCTTTTGGGGTATCTGTCTGTCTCATTGACTGATAGTTTTCTTTTGTGCTTTGTTTCCTGTTAGATCTGAATTATTGCACCCATCACAAACCCTGCAAAAATGGAGCCACTTGCATGAATACTGGTCAAGGAAGCTACACCTGTTCTTGCAAAGAGGGATTCACTGGCAAGGACTGCGAAAGGAATATTAGTGAATGTGATAGCAACCCCTGCAAGAATGGGGGCAGTTGCACAGTAAGGACAAATTATATGCTAGAAGTTAATTTATGAAAGGAAAATAAAATATTATTATCATCATCATCATCAGTATCTAGTTCTTTTTTCAAGGAATACAGGATGACATGCATGAATTTATGCTAATATATATTCATAACAATATACTGTCAGAGAGAGCCAGTTTGGTCTAGTGGTTAAGGCATCAGGCTAGAAACCAGGAGACTCTGTGATCTAGTCCTGCCTTAGGCATGAAAGCTGGCTGAGTGACTTTGGGCCAGTCACTCTCTTTCAGCCCAGGACGTCAGGCTTGGGTGACAAGCTGGTCGGTCAGTTCCTGTTGCAACCAATGGATTGTTCAGTTGGTCCCCCGCCCCAAAAAAGCGGACCCTGTACCTGTGGGAAAAACGCTAGGAAGAACAAAAAAAATAGACTGAGGGTACTTCCACATAGCCCCTGCAGCCACTGTGCTTGCCCTCAAGCCCTCCCAGTTCATTCATACAGTTCCGTTAACGTCTTCCTCTTCTGGCTGCCAAGGATCTTCCAAAGTTGTACGGTATATCCTCTGTCTCGCAGAATTGGGGAGTGGCGGAGCAGAGTTGGCATTTCAGCCAATGCTCTCCACGTTTTCTTCATTTCCTCACCACATTTGTTTTGCAACAAGGGAAAAAACGCAAATGGTCATTGTGCAGATGGCTTCAAGATGACTTCTGGAGAGAGGGAATCTCAGAAGCCAGGATGAATAGGAACCCCTCCAATAACCACTGCTTGCCCCACAGCTTCAGGCCAGAGACTTAGTGAATGTGTACCATCTTGGAGTTTCCTCCTAATTACTGGAGAAGGAGGTACTGTGGCCTCCAAAAAGTGTTGCAAATATAGATGATGCAAAAACGGAGACATCCTTGCTGTGTTATAGAAAGCACTGGGAGCCGTACATCTAAACCACAGTTCCTATTGCAACTATTTTCCTAGCACTCAAAATAATGCTCCAATATAATAATCTCTCAGAGCTGCATCAGTCATACTTTCAGTCCAGCATGTTAGTCCAACATTGTAGTTTGAAAATGTGCAGTTTCAGAAAAACATAATTCCTGCATATATTGTGATTCTGCTGTGCAACTTAGTAATAATTGAGGGAATAGTGACATCCTAACATCTGAAGGATGTAATGTCCAATAATTTGTCTTTGAGAAGACAATAAAGGTTATTCTGAGTATCCAGTTAATCTTTACTATTCCTACAGCACTGTTCATTTAGAATATTTAGTAATAGCTAAATATATAATATTCTACAACAATGGTCAAGCTTAAACTGAGCATAGGAACATTTTTAGTGTTCTTTCTTGTAGTTCACATTGATATATACTTAGCACTAGGTACTTTCATGTAACATTAAGGTATCAATTTTTCTGACTTACAAGACCTTAGAATTTTTATCTTTACATTCACATCAAAGGGCTTACACACAATATAATGAACTCTTCATCTGATCACAACTACATCTTACCTTAATACAAATAAAAGATGAAGACGGATTATTTATCATTATAGGCTTACGTGTGAATCAGTAGAGTCATTAATAAACTGATTTCTGGGTCTCCATGACTATATCATTGTTAGGTAGCTATTTGTATGCTAGTCATTTTGAACTCTAAACTGTTATACATGCCCATCCAATCTAGCTTTGCCTATCTGCGTTTGCTTTGGCTTAATCTCTGAAATTCATGCCTTACAGAGAAATGCAAAAATAACTGTGGTCTGAAAGCAACTGCTGTTTCATGGAGCTAACTTTTATGTATTGTCTGCTTGCTTCTATAGGATTTAGGAAAGGAGTACCAATGCACCTGTCCCCCAGGATATGATGGTATGAACTGCGAGCACGCTGCCTTGACTTGTCTTGACTCTCCATGTTTTAATGGTGGCACATGCCTGGAAAGAGAAAGAGGAACCAGCTATACTTGCCTTTGCCCCATGGGATTTACTGGATCCAACTGTGAAAAAAAAGAAGACAGGTGTACCAACAATCCCTGCGCTAATGGTAAGCCACAAGGAGAGTGTTAGTTTCTGAGGATGGCCATGAAAGAAACTTCAGTTTGATTTTGGTTCCTTTTCTTGTCTGCCAGTTCCATTCTCCTATTTAATGTCTAGTGTGAATTTCTACGTAGGTAAAGGTTCAAACTGTATGTTGCGTGGAATTCCATGCTTTTTTGCCCCACCTGTTGTAATCCTTCCCTTCCATGGATGTTTTTCAAGATACTTTTAATTAACAGATGGGGTAAAGGAGGGGCTTTCAGTTTTGCTTGCATATGTCTTCTCACTTCATTAGGCTATAGTAGCTATGTCAGGGAATAGAACTGAAACACATGTACAATATTGTTGAATTTTGATGAGTGCGTTTTTTTTTAATAAGCATCTTGTCTTTGAGGTTATCTATTTTAAATGAAACAGGATGTTCATTCCTAACCTTGTGTACTCCCTCACTGAAGAGCTTCAAGCAAAGACTGTTGAGATGGTTTAGAACTTCCCTCAACTTTGTATACTCTCATAGATCCGCCACTTATCTTTGTGCAATGTTGTTACACCTTGTGAGAGCCTTGTTCACTTGAACTGCATAGGATAAGAGGCAGGCTCAGCAACAGATTAGTGAAACCAAGGCTACATACAGAAGCCTCATAGAACCAAACTTGTAGGACCAAATTATATGTGTGCTCATCTTTTTAAGTTGATTGTTTAAAAATGCAAAGAGGGGAGGAGATTTAAGACCATGGAATAGGAAAGGGATTCTGGTTTTTTTTAAACAGAGCTCCTGTTATGTCCAAAATGGAGTACTTTTACTTGGCGTCAGTTTGTAGTTGGATATTCCAACTCCCTTGCACTGTTGTAATCATTGCAATGCATTGTGAGCACTAAAAAGGTTTTTTCCCCCTTCTGTAGGTGGGCAATGTTTTGTAATGGGCCAACAGCATGTGTGTCGCTGCCGTCCTGGCTTCTCTGGTCAGACGTGTGAGATATACATCAGCCGGTGTGCAAGAAATCCCTGTTCCCATGGAGGATCATGTCATGACCTTGACGCTACCCATGATTACACATGTACTTGTTTGCCAGGCTTCACTGGCAGAAATTGTGATATTAGAACTAGAGATGGCTGTTCTTCTGGGCCGTGCCAGAACGGGGGAACGTGCTACATTGGGCTTTATACTAAAAGCTTTGCCTGCCACTGTCCCCCTGGCTTCATGGGCAGCCACTGCGAAATTGTTACAAATGTCATCCCACCACTTCCTAAGCCAGTTCCCTGGGTGGCTGTATCCATGGGAGTTGGGCTAGTGGCTCTCCTCATCTTGTGCTGCATGATAGCCATAGTTATCCGACAGATGCAGAGACACCCAGAACAAAATTCAGAAACAATGAACAACGTGTCTGACTTCCAGAAGGAAAATCTCATCCCAGCTTCTCAGCTTAAGAACACCAATAAAAATAAAGACCTTGAAATAGATTGTGTACTGGAGAAATCAAACTACAAACTTAAAAATCATACATTGGATTATAACCTGGTGAAGGAACTGACAAATAGAGGAGCTCAGGAAGATAAATACCATAAAAGTGAAAAGTGTATAGGAGAGAAATCACCCTTCTGGCTATGCAGGTATGAAATTTCCTTTAGAAGACAAACTTATTTGCACAGTCAAAAATGTGAAGAACAAAGGTGGTGTTTTAGTTTAAAGAACTCAGAAAAGAGCAGATGACTGAAAATGTCTATCTTTGATGTTTTTACTTTTTTGTATACTAATTCTTCATTATTACAAGAAAACTAATTGGTCAAGTTATGAAAACAATTTATTTTCCTAATTAGAACAAGAAATAATCAATTCCAACATGAGAAAATATTTTACACATGTTTGAATCCTGTATATCAAGTCCTTTTCTTAGTGTTCCTTTCTCTATACCCCCCTCTCATCTTTCTTTTCTTAAGCTGGCATAGTGGCACTACTGTACTATAGCCCATCTTAAATTGGGTGTGATCTAACTCTGAATCAGAATTCACTAGTTCCCTGGATCATAGCAGATCTACAGTAAGAATAAGGGATATGTATTCATTTCACAAAGATACCTCTCTCCCTGTCCTTCAGTGCAGACTTAGCCATAATTTTGCATATTAGTAATATTCAAATTTCCAATAAGCCAAGCACTGAAAACAAGTATGGGGAAATCTATCCTCTCTAACACTGAAGAGAGGTTGATCTATCTTCCAGAGTGTTAATATGAACAATCTGGACTGTTATCCCTAGTTTTTCTTATTATTGTGTTAGCCTCATCATTTTGATGATGTGTAGATTTAAACAGAAGGCTTCCATATTGCAGGACTTCCTGAAGTCTCCATTCTGTGCTCTTCCTCCTTCTTCTGGGGACTCCTGTAATTTGAGCCACGCTACAGTGTATCATGTGTTTAGACAGTCATCTTGTTCAAAAATGCAGTGTTTTGCTTTCAGTGGGTGCTTTGTAGTCAGTTCTTGCAGATGAAAAGTAAACTCAGGGATATTCTCTGATTGACAAGCTACCTTACTCTGACTGATCTAGTGTTTTGAGACGAGAACAAGTTTTAGTCTCTCTCAAGTGTGTCCAGGTTCATAGCTGTTAATTTTGTCTAATATAATGTGACAAGTGCTGTAAGATACCGTAAGTGCCATTGGATTCCACTGTATGGACATGAAAAAGAATAAACCTAGAATGTGGTGGGAACTGGTTGTTTTTATCATCTACCGTCTCTCATGCCAGTGTCTCTTTTCTTTCAACCACAGCTCTTCTAGAATATCCTTTCTTCACATCTTATAATACAAAGCATTGACATTCATTCTGAATATTCACCTTGTATTTTATCTGTATTTTCAACAGTGAAAAGCCAGAATGTAGAATATCAGCAATATGCTCTCCAAGGGATTCAATGTACCAGTCTGTTTTTGTAATAACAGAAGAGCGGAATGAATGTATTATAGCTACAGAGGTATGTGTATTGCCTACAGAAATTTGATCTTTGCTCTGAGTAATGTTCAGAAATGTGACATTCAGAATGACAGCAATGTAACTTGAGTTTTCAAACATAGCACCGACATATACATGTGACAAAATAAATAGAAAGTGAAAAATATGTAGAAGTTTTTTTAATGTTACTTGTGATCACCCCAACAAAGTATCAAAGTATTTAACAAAGTATGGAATCCAAAGGTCTGTGATCATGAAATAATTCTTTCCAACTTTTCACGGTCCTCTGTGGAACCCTCTAACCCAAGAAAAGTTGGGGATGGTAGTTGACGGATCTCCAGAATGGCAAAGGGATGTGACACAAGGGGGCCAGAGCAGAAAGAAAAAATTGGGGAAAACCAGGAAACCACCTTGTGTGAACAGAAATACCTTTCCATCACACAACATTTTTGAATCTAGGACTCTACATCTGAGTGTAGGAAGTAAGGACACAAGAATTCAGGAAATTAAAATATTGAATATGTAAGATTTAAATAAAGGGATACATAGGGAAAGGTTGAAATTAATGTCATAAAGATTCTCCTCCTACAACTAAAATAGTACATTCAAACTTATTTAAGTCAAGGATTGAATTTTATCTATTATGCTTAATTTTACATTTATACTGAATTAATTGAAATGTCTGTTTCTCTTTTTTATGTTTATTGATAGGTATAAGAGTGAAGGCTGCTCTGTTTGCACCTCAGTTCTAGTGATGCCACGAAGTGGACATTCCTACTACATTGTTTACAATTCAAAATTGGATTGGACTTGGGTTTTTTTTTAATTATATGCAATTTGCTGCTCTCAGGAGGAGGAGTGGATGAAAGTGGGTGAACTGGACAGACTGTGAATTTAAAAGATGCAATATACCTTTTTGCCCCCTGTTTCCTTATTTTGAAGTCTGATAGGAGGAATGTAACTGACTACTAGCAGGGGAGAGACAAAGATGTCTCTTACTAGCTTTTAAAATGACATGCCAGTTGCTCATGGACAGTTATGCGACTATCCAGAACTTCAGTCTTGAAAGGTGCCTTGTCAGTATAAAGGCCCTTGGACGTTATCACAGAGTTTATCAATGACACTGTGAGAAGAATGAATGAAGAAACATATTTTTCTATGCAGATAATGGATACAGAATAAGTGTCACCATTTTTTTCTGGATTTGGAAGTGCCTAAAAAGCGTGTCTGAGAATCTAGAGAGCCCAAATCAAGACCCATCAGCCTTTCCCCCCTCCAGCACCCAAGCAGTATTGTCCAGGAGTGGCTATCAACATCTCCTGTTGCTCTTCTATTTTCCCCTCCTTTTTTCCCCCTACCATTTATTATTCACAGATAACTTAAGGAACATGGCTACTGAATTGGCATTTTGTCTCCTTGGATGCTGCTTTGGTGAACTGAGCAGTAACTGGGATTTGTTCTTTTTCTGAATCACGGGACTCCCCAGACATAATCTGACCCGAGAGAGGATGTTGACTTTTCTCTTTCATAAGAGGAAAGTGAAACCCCGGGCTCCCTGACAGCCTTATATGTGCGTTTAAAATCAATCAGATGTTTTCCTGCTCTTTGCACTACTAGTCACCATAAACAGAAGTGTGTTTCTTCTATGTTATACGTGTAAAGAGAGGTTTGGATTTTGTCTTAGAGATCTGGACTGGTCTGGTGCCACCCTTTCAACTGCAGATAATCTGGATGACTACACTGTTACGTTTTTACAGCCAGGCAAGTGTTTATGATCCTGCCTTTGTATTCCTTCTGCGAAACCTCCCACACTGACTACAGTTGAATTCCTTTTTCTAAACACCTGACAAAGACTAAGCTACAAAGGGGATTTTGGGGGGGGGATCCATTATGGGGGGAGGGGGGACTGTAAAGCCCTTGGTTTTCCCTGTTTGTTCCTTTCTTCACATTGCTACAAAGAAAGGAATAACCTTAAGTTTTTGAATCCAAAGGAGCAGTTCTGAACTGGAAACTCAGAACTGACACGGACTCTCTCGTACATTTACAGCAATAATAGACATTTCAGATAGGAAGTGCTGTTCATAGTGATAAACAAGTACTGTGGGAAAGAGAATATGGCGGAAGCAGAGAGAGGAAGCAAATTTTCATTCAAGGAAGTTGGGATCGTGTTTTCTGTGGTGGAAGAGCAATGTTCCTGACCTTGAAAATCCCAGGGCTGGATTAATCCATCTCCAGCCTTGAACTGTGCAATCAAGTTCTTGCTTGGTATGTTCACTACTGACATTCTGGCCATTGTGAAGAGGAGCTTCAGAAATCAATAATATGGTTTATACTAGTGTCTGTCTGTAGTTTATTTTGAAGCCTAGCATTTCAATAATTTAAAGTAAAAATCAGAAGCACTGAACTTTCTACATTTTGTAACATTATTTTGTATATAATGTATATTTATAATCAAACAGAAGTGTAAATATGTTTATTACATATGTCATGTTTTTATGTGATGACAAAGTTTGAATTTTATTTTTTTTTTCAAATAATGAAGATACTTTCTTGCTACTGCAAACTTTTAGTGTGGTTTCTTATGCTATGATTTGGATGTCATGACCTTGCAGTGTTTACAAGGATAGCTCATGGCAAAGCTTGTGAGGTAACAAAAATTTATTACTGCTAATATTAGTATTTCAGTAAATGAACTCAATGTGTGTTTTGAGTTGCTGAACATCCCATTTGATATAAAGTTTAACCTGTAACCATAATAGACTAAAAAAATTTAAGAATCCCTTAAATTTTATCCTTACTATATGGATAAAATCTTGCCATATATATGATGGTTTTGCTTGAAATAGTAACAGAGAAAGGTCTCCAGGTCATTAATAAATACACATCTTAATTTTATATTTTGTTAACAAATACAAATTCTTAACTGATTTTCTTCCTTTTGTCTACTGTAACTGGAGCTCATGGTGTATCCGTGTTACCACCTATTCCAAAAGATTTAAAATGGGGTACCAAGTAACAGAGTCAAAATAAGAAATGTAACATAAGATCATTACTTTTTACACTGTTTTCAGCATTGATTCAGGATGCTGTTTATCTGAGAATGCTTCCAGATTTCTGTTTCCACCAACATAAATACCATATTGGCAGAAATTACAATTCCAGACTATAACTATATAACGTAACTATATTAGTACGTTGCAGTAACAATGACAAAATCCACAACAGTTTATGGCAATGTACTGGTTTTTAAGGGGTCACCAGACTCCTGTTTGCCAGCAGACATAATAGAGGAGGATTCCCAAGTTTTTAGTATTGCCATTGCTAGTTTTGCTCTACTGTATCCAGGCTACGGTGGCATCCATATTGACCAGCAACAAAGCAACCAACAGAAAACTTCGATCAGTTTGCCATTCCAAAGTTCTGTCAAGCTAAAAAGCTAAAATTTCAGTGTAAAAATGTAACTTAGGTTTGCTAAGCTTGTTAAAATATTCAATTTTAAAATGATGGGAGTGGAGAAAGAGAATAATCAGGCTCTAAATGAACTGCAGCCTAGTTATGCAGGAATATATAGATTTAAGCCCATGAAATTAGTGTAATTAAATCAGATGAATCTCAAGTCCTCTTTTGGTGTGTAAACTGTAGTGCATCTATTTTTAAGGCAATAATGCAAAAGTTTTTGCTTTATCTTTTAATAGCAGCTGTAATAACAAAATTACAAGGGAGCTTTTTAGTTTGCCTGTATTTTAATTATATGCAATTTTGTTTACCTTTTAAAACACTATGCATATGTGCTTTCCTGTTTAATTCTTTTCTTAGGAAAATCAGTTGAAAATCCTAATCAGTCTCCCTGACAACCATTTGAGGCAAACAATCATCAAGATGGAACTCAGAAATAAAGAGAACCCTCCTGTCCCTAAACATTTGTCCCGTAGAACAAATTATGAAAAACCATTGACAAAAAGAGCAGATGCTCCTGATTTGCAGCTTTTCCTTGGCAATGTGAAATAAACTCAACAGATGCTTCTCTTAATTGAACGCATGGATTATACACACGTACAAGCACACAAACGCAGAGTCCTCCTTCAAACAAAAAAACAAGACAAACAGGAAAATAGTCAGGGAAATCTTCCCACAGCTTCAGAAAGACAATGGTGGGATTCAAACATGGCTTTGGGGTCTCAGGAGGAAGAGTGATACCAAATGGCAAGTCTGAAACCTCCATGCACCAAAGCCTGCAAAAATTATTTGTGGGTGGATATTATATTATTAAACATGTTTTTGTGCATGGTCCTACAGAACTTGAAAACAAAAGTGTGCATATACATTAAGAACTACATATTGTACAAACTCCAAGGAAGACTTTGCTTAAACATGGGCCCAGGATATACCATTTCCTCCAAGTAGATTTTCACTGGCTTGTTCCCTCAATTTGAGAGGGGATGTAGTTGGTACTTTGGCTCTGGAGGTAAGGCAGTGGGTCCCTCAAAACAGAGCTTCTCTGGGGCTGCCCTGGCCCTCAGGATTAAGCTCTTCCCCTGAGATCTAGATGCCTTTACACTTAACATCCTTAGAAAAACTATTACAACTTAGCTTTTCCAGCCAGCTTTCAGAAACTGGGCATCCTGTCCTTTGCATTAGCAATTTAAGCCTGTTGTATTCTGAAATTTAACTTTATTTTGCATTAGGGGATTTGAATTTTGTTTACATTTATTATATCTGTGAACCCTCCAGAGTTTTCCTAATTTTGTAGTACAGTATATAAAAGAGGGAAACAAACAAGCTCCAGATAGCATTGGGTTCCAATAGGATCATGTGAGAATTGGAACTCGCATGTATAAATCTGATTATGAAATATATTCAGTCTCTGCACCAAAGTGCTGATGCACTGTTAGTGACACATTGTTTCAGGGATTTTATAGTAGACCTTTAAGGTGAAAAAAGGTAATTTCTGAATTATTTAGCATAATATCAGCATTCAGGTGAGTGATATATAGTAATAAATTTTTAGAAATGGTAAATCATATATAGAAAATACAATTTGTTTTTAAAGTGTATAAGAGAAAGATTCAGATCCAGCCTGCCTGGATTTTATACACGTGGACTGTATAACACTGTTATTTCTGAGCTCATGGATAAGCCCCTTAAGTATGAAGCTTGTATTATATACTTCCTGTGAGATAATTTGTATGATAAAATACATTTCAGGCTTCCTGACTAGAGCATAAAAAACTTTAAAACTTAATTGCTCTCAGTAATATAGGTTTCCTATCTCTGACCTAGCTCTGTAGAAATAATATTTAAAATAGTATTTTTAATTGGTCATCAGCCTGCTTCTTAAAGCAAGATATATAGCAGATCTTGGGGATTTTCCAACAAAAAATGTTATGCTGAAACTCATAAAGGTGATGGTGTCATTGTAGTATCATTCATATATCCAGCCCTGCTTTATCAAGATGGACTTCTTGTTCACGAGAGACAAGACTGTGTGTTTCACTCCTAATTCAAGCCCTAGTTCTCAAGTTGTCTTGTCACTATACCTCCTTGCTTTGTTTTCCTAGCTGCAGTTTTTCTAGTCTCTCCAGAGAATCAGGGCAAGGGCAGTATATTTCCCTCAAAAAAGTTTTGCTTTTGCTCTTTATTAAACCACAACCATTTGTAAAGAAGGATGGTAGAAAAAAAAATAGTGTTTGCTGTCTCTCTGGAATAGCTCTTCCATAATGCAGATTGCATATCGTCATCCCTTAGTTTACTCCAAGCTGACTTGTCTTGTAATATGAGCCATTGCTTCACTTCTTCCTGAACTGGTATTTTTTATTTTTGTTCTTGACTATATAGTATAAAGTACAGGGTGGGGAGGATCAGCATTTGTTTTCTAAAACATTCATTTATTTCTGCTTCTGGCTACCACAACTGTAAATAGCTGCACAAAACATAATTCAGAACTGATCTGTACACTTTCACGGGTAGTTCTTATGTTAGGTGAACAGTATGACCAAACGGTCATATTTTGCTTCAATCTAGAAACATTTAAATGATAAAATGTTCATTTATCAGTTGGCAGCCTTCTTTGTTAAAGATTTGGGGGCCAGGGATCTACCTCACAGTGGATTCCCAAAAGGAAAAAGGTGATTCACCACAGGGGAAAAGGGTTATACTTTTGAAGATGTAAAAGGTGAAGAGGTGAATGAAGAGTGAGAACAACTGCTGTGAGAAAAATAGTGGCTGATTCATGCATTACACTAAGCCATGGTTTGTTTTAATCAGGGTTGTTGAATAAGTTGGCTTTGCATACAATGCAAAACTGTAAACTATGATTTCCAACCAAAAGGTTTACACATTATGCTAAACCTTAACCAAACAAATCACAATAGAGTATAGTTTACTGGAATATGTGGATCTCATTTGTTTGTTATGCAACTCATCAAAGCTTCACTCCTTGCCAAGGTGTCTCGTAGGGAATTCAAATGTCACAATAGCACCTGCAACCATGCCATTAAACCCATGCACCTTTTTTTGCATGCACTGTGTAGGGGATGCATGAAAAAAGGGGCAGGACTTTGTACAATCACAGCTGCCATCTTACCCTTTTGACCTCCCCCTTGGATGCTCCTGCTCCCTGCTAGAAATCCTGGCTACATTTTTCATTTCTGCATCCTTTTTCCACATGGGTACTGCAGCTGAATTTACTAGTCACTTTCATCAATTAGAAACGTGATCTTATCACAATGGCTCCCAAGCAATGGTGAGCAAACTCTACATGTTCAACATTTTCCTAACTAAGCTCATATGACTAGTGCTATTGTAGACTGACATGTCATAACAATTTGCCAGTCCCCATCCAGCAACTGAGAACCCTTCCGATGTCCTAAAAAAAAGTTTCTAAGCCCTTCTAGATAATAGCTTATCAACAATCAGAAAAAGGGAAAGAAATATACACATACATGATGCACATACCATACACATACTTCTGTGATTCTTCCCACATGGCAGTTGATATTAAAACTGGCTAGACCAGTTTTGAAATGTCAAGCAATTTTAAGAAATAAAATCACAGACATACAAATAACCCACTTGTGGGTCATTTTGTCTCTCAGGGCATGTATGCACACTGAAACATTACTTGCAAGTATTGGTTGCTGTACAGGTAGTCCTCATTTAGCAACTGCCTCATTTGGACCATTCATAGTTAAGACAGTGATGAAAATATAACTTTATGACCAATCCTTGCATGTATGACCTTTGCAGGTCTATAAAGCAGATGAAAGCCGAAGTAAGACCATAAGCACAGTTGCAGTTTCACTTAGCAACCACTTCGCTTAATGACCAAATTGCCGGTCCAATTGTGGTTGCTAAATGAGGACTACCTGTACTTGCAAAAGCAAGCAAATGTGCACTGGGTTAACATGGAGATTTGTTTGTTGCTCAGTAATAATGGAGATAGGAGGTACCACACTGTAGAGTATAGAGGCAGGTCTAGGTTGCTAGATGTCACAATACACACATGCCATCTTGCACAGAAAGAGGAGGCATTCTTTCAGCCCAGAAAATGAACTGTGCAACACATTCAGAGGTGACAGGATCTTTGCATGGACTTCCAGAATGATGAGAGCCTTAAACTGAATGGCTCACTGAGAATAACTGAATGCTGTCAAACCAGCCAAAATGTGTAGCCAAACCACAGGGCACAGTATTTCCATATAATGTGCAAATGCTTGTAAATGTAATTTTAGAAATAAGTGCAATAATTTTCAATAGAAATAAAACACTGTGGAAATTATGATCAGAGGACTTGCATGTTTGACACTTCAGCTGTCAATCCAGCTGCTGTCAATGGGCAGGCAAGTCCAGGAGCAATGCTGTCCTTTCTTAGG